GTGTTACAGTGGCTATTATCTAGGTAATTAGGTGAGGATTTTTTTTTTTACGTCTCTGTATGCATAAATCTGCATTCAAATATGTGCAATCTGCTGGTATAGGAGATGATTTTGTTACCGGAAGCTGTCTGGTTTCTGTCTGCAGTGTGAACAGTACTGATCAGTCACATTTTAGCAACTTCTGACCACAGTATGGTGAAAGTCATGGCCTAGATATCTGTTAACCGTAAATGTCCTCGCTACACTGGAAGCCCTGAAACGCTGGCGGTTGTCCCCAGAGGCTAACTCATTAGACGATAGCCGATGGGCTCCCAGATTGGTGATGAATAAAAACCTCATTGATTCCCTCATGCGTCACATGTCCATGTAGATTTATTTACCCTTTGCATCATGCACACCAGGGAACAGATTGTGCCTGGATTTTTAACTCTTTTTGTTTTATTTTGTACATATGTTCAAATCACTAGGGAGCCTCCCATGGTCTCCTCATGTGCTAAATAATTGTCTTGGACGAGTACGTGTGCAAATTTGTGTGTTTACAGGGGAACGGGTGCTATCTCTGCAGATGGAGACGAGGCAGCGGGCAAGCAAGCAATTACAAGCTGGTCGGCTTACACCTCCCCCCACCGTCGCCCATACATCGCCCTGGGGCTTGCTTGCATTAAGAAATCATGGGTATAATGGTGGAATGGGCCTCAGGGCCCCCTCCAAAACAACCTGCTAATCCCCTTGTGGTGATGGGAGGGTGTTGAATCTGGGGGTAACAGGGCATCCCGGCCGCTCCGACAATGAGTCCACCCCTGACACGCGCCAGCGCCCTCAACCACCCATCGCTTCACACCGCACCTCCTCCAACCACCCCAATCAACTACAGCAACATCCTCCCGAGGGAGGAAACGAGCGATGTCAGCCACGGGAGAGGAAAACCCCCCAGGCCCAGCGTCACCCCTCCATCTCAGCTGGGCCTCGAGCAGAAACATTCAATCAGATCACTGCGCCTTTCTCTCTGCATCTCCTGGCTGTTTTTGTGCCACAGCACTCAAACAAAGGATGCACGCTAAATCGAGCTTCGCCAATCAACCTCTGGTAGAGAATTCAACTCGCGCAAACAGATCCGAAGCAGCTCGTTAAAATGGTTTAATTATGTATCCAAATTGTGATGAGCAATGACACGCTTGATTGGTTGTATCAGAGGGCCTTAATGAGGAGAAAGGCCTCACTCTGTCTGAGAATTAACGTGACGTCTGCTCTCGCTAAACATGACACAATGCAGCCTCCAGTGCTCTCTCTTTCCCTCGCTCTGTCTATTCAGCGACTGAGTCAAAGTGTGTTTGTCCTGGGCGGCATTCGTGACAGATTACTCTTCATCTGCTTATGGAGCGTCGGACAGACTTCCTCGGGTATGTCTGTCATCAAATATTCGGTTTAGCTTAAATCAACGCTATAATGTCACACCACCTCTTATTTCTTTCAACCGCAATCTCATCCTATTTACCAGGAACCTGTGCCATCTCTGTGCTGAGATCTATGACTTCCATATATAAAGAGATTTTTCCTCTTTGTTCAGCTTAGTGTTTCCCCATCCCAGCCCCAGCAAGTCCATTTAGAAATCATACATTAACATCGTCTCATCAATCTTCCAACCTTCCAACCTTCTAGCTTCAGGTTAAAAACCAGTAATCATCCCGCTGGTGGGCTAATGGGCACCTTAACATCAACTCGCCGAGAGTCCATTCATATTTTATGAACGGCAGTGCCCCCCCCCATCTTCCCCGGGCCCCGCTCAGCTCGTAAGGCAAATCGACATCAAAAGCGGCAACCTTCCAATTAGATGGCGAGACATTCTGATCTCATCTCAATTTGGCCCGAGATCAAATCTTCCCGCAAAGATCCAAGGAATTCCGAGCCCTTTTAGTTAGCCAGCCTACCCTGTCAAATGGGGAGAAAATGTTCACTGAAAGCACCTGGAGGAGGAGGTCGCATTTAAAAATGCCTAACGCAGGGACTTTCCTGTTCCAATATTTAGATATCGAGATATCGCAGCAATTCCAACAGCAACAGCGTTCAAGAAAGGTGCTAGGGGAGTGTGGTTGAAAACAAAGACCAGATGTGAAAACATGACGTTAATCCTAGTGAGGTGCGACTTAGAGCAATGGCACTTCAGGCAGTGTTTTGGGAAGACCTGTGTAAAACACCAGATGTTCCTCCTGGCATGAATAATTTAGACAGTGAGTCCAGGTGGGCATCAATGGCCACTTCACAAGTGAGGCTATTTTGCCGAAAGATAAGCATTAAATTATCCTTTTGCCCCACAAAATAAGTGATCGATGTGAAGACCAGCTGATTTCATATATTCTCTGTTATTTGTAAAAACAATGCAGCAAAGACACTAAGCTACAAGAAGTATATATAGTCTAAAAGCCTTAGAAATGCCTCATTTCCTCAGCTCCTCAGACAGTTTTTTTCAACTCTTTTCTCTATATGAGGTCAACGAGAGAGGATTTCCCTAATATGGTCGCGTCACCCACGCAGCTCTGTTAGCACAAAAGCCCCACCCACCTGTTGTTAAAACACTTGTTTTTACAGAAGGAAACCAATCAGAAGAATGCTGGTTTAACAGGAGGGAGAAGGGAGATTGTTTACCCAGGCAATGGATTCACTGCAGCAAGGCCCAGAGGAAAGTAAATAAGAATTACTCTGAATTGTCAGTCACAAAAGGCTTCTCCAGTAGACTCCAAGAATAAAAAATACGGAGCTGGAAATAAAAGAAAACAGCCGCCCTTCTTCTTTCACTCCTCTAAGGGTCACTATATGTTACAGAAAGTGAAATTCTCATAGTGTGGCAACCCTATCTAACACCCCCAACATTCACACCCAGTATGCGCCTGTAAGCAAGGTTCTTTCTTCTATACCTTTCTCTTTTGTTACACAGCTATTCCTGTCACCACCTATAAAAGGTCAGCCTTCCATCCCACCTTTGACTGTGACAGTTGTGAACCAATATAAACACATATTTCCTTCCAACAATGCAAGGAAAAAACCTCTTTTAAACCCCCTCTTTGTTGCTCAATAGTTTCTCTGTCAGTGTCTGGAGGGGATATCACTCATTCTGTTGGTTCGAGCGGATCAATAGAGAGACTAAAAACAAATCAACCCGCCCGAATCTCCGACTGCGACCGCTCAACCTGCTGAAGCTGCAATTATCATAACTAAAAGCAATCTGTGTCAACCTTTCTTGTGTGCGTGTGTGTCTGGCTCTTCAAACCTGAATTTCACAACAGGAAATCAGCACAGTTCCTTCCTTGAAAAGGATCAGGCCACACAGAAGAGTGCCTCTGCCAAAACAAGTCTTAAAAAATAAATCTCAGCCAATTAATGGGGTCTTATTGGGAGTTATCGAGAAAGAGGGTGTGTGTGTGGGGTGGGGGGGGGATCAAAAACCTTAATCCAATTAACAGGATGCCCTCTAGCAGCGGAGGGACAATACAATAGTGAGTATTTAGCTTCCAAAATAAATGCCCTCCATTTATCCAGCCAAGTGAACTTTGACAGCATGGAATGGGTTTAAGTAGCTAAATGGAATAAATCTATTATGTCGTATAAAAAAAATTAAAAAAAATAAATTGATGCAGGCCAATGGTTCTGGACACTCTACCCTGCACTGATTAAACACATTACAATATAACTGCAGAGTGAGGAAGGTCGGATATTTATCACTTATGAGGGCAGGGAAGGGAAACTAGTAGAGCACTCAGGTGACCAGATCACAAACGTGTGACATGGAGAGGTCAAAGGCCAGTTTCTGGTTCGCTGTGCTTCACTGATTTCAAGTCAAGGTAGCAAAAAGCACCCATAGCACCCACAGTGGGATTTCTGGACACCTCGGACAACATTGAGAACCAAGGAAAGAAGGCATGATACGAACACACTGAGTACCTGTGCTTAACAGATCACAGTTTTATTACTTTGAATGGGTTGGCTGGCTTTAGTTGCAAAAAAAAAAAAAGCTCAAATGATCGTTGGCTCGTTTTTACACAGACTCAACCAGAGCAACACACACACAGAGGACAGTACAATATCTCTAGGGAATATTATTATGAGACATTTAAGCCGCCTCTCAGCGGCCGCATCTCAATAAGATGCCCCACCACCACCCTCACCCTGTGGATTTTTTTTTTTCTTTTTGCGTTTGAATCCAGGCACAAGACGAAAATTCCTGCCACACCAACAGGGAAAAGTCTGTGTGGGGTTTTCTTTCCTTTGCCACATTTGGCTTCGTTTGCGTTGCTGTCGCTTGTTTGTCTCACTTCACTGTGTTTGATCCAAGAGCCCCCCCTCCGACAGTCTGAACAATGCGCACTGTACGACAGGCTGCACACATTTCCAGGACTTCTCAAGGTCTGGGACAATCTCCGTTGTAGAAAAAGCAACAACAATAATAAGAACAATAATTTTAACCCCCCCGTTCGGCTTTCTTTCGAAGAATTTCTAGATGCTGGGCAAAGCACACACAGACAGACATATAGCGACTGGCTGTGAAGCAGCTGATTCCCCCCACCACCACCACTGAAACAGACAGAGCCTGAGCGAACACACAGCAGTAGTGAAGTCAAAATAGCTCGCCAGTTCACATCCTCATAATGAAAATGGGAAAATAGGGCAAAGCGCGAGCAAGACTTAAAAATATCAAAAATGTGGCATTTGGCAAATCAGGAGGAGAAGGAGGAGGAGGGAGACGAGGAGGGGGTGAAGCGGGCAACCTTATGCTTTGCAATGTGGCAGTGAGATGAAATCCAAGCTCCCATCACTGGGTTGTTTGAAAGAGAGCGCTTGCCTCGTGATAAAAACACAGTCACTCGGTCTCTAACTGCGCCGGGAATCAGCATCCAAGTACAGCCACTTCACCACCTCCCGTGCGCACATTAACACATGCCCTTACAGCTGAACGCGAGTGAAAGCAGTTTATTTTTTAGAGGAATATGAAGGTAAATTAAACTTACCGACGCCGTATTTCTCGTGTTCTGTAGGTATCCACATGTTTACTGTCGGTAAGTTTAAGTGAGTGGTCGGAATAGCAGCGAAAAGCAAGGTTTGGGCTCCGTGTAACGCATTCTACTGGCGTGCTTTCCTCCGCTCTGTAGTAGGAGTCATTGTTTAGGTTACAGCAAGAGAAAGCGCCTCAGCCGCCGCTGCTGCTGCTGCCGCTGCTGCTCGTAGTGGTACGGAGACGCGTTGCCTTTACGTTCTGTGGGAAATGTGACACCCGGAGAGGTCAGAGCACTTTGGAGCCCCTTGCGAAATTATTGTTTGTTATGGTCGGAAAATTTGGAGAAAATGAACGCTGTTCGTATTTAAATACCAGCATTTTCCTACTTTTTAGATTAAGCTTTAGCAGGCTGTATTTGTAGCCCAATGCCCTGTTCAAAACTGTCACGGGAATGGGTTCAATCGGGGTTGGAGCTAGTCAATCCCACTAACAGAGCAATAACACATCCATTGCTAAGTATGTGACACTGTTAACTTGTTTCAACATTAGTTTGTTTTATAGTTAAAAAATGACGACCCAACGACCTACGGTTACCAACTAGCATAAAACGCAGTAGGAGTGATGTTAGCTTATTTTTCATAGACAATACAAACTGTTAGTTTTTTTTTTTACTTCAGGGCTATTAGCCTACACATAATATCATTTAAATATGTTAGCCTGAGCCCCCACTACACACACAGACACACACACACACACTAAGTTGAGGATTTATTCCATCTACTAGTTATTGTGTGGGGACTGAGATTTATATGTCTAACGAGAAAACCCCCGAGTAGTACCTGAACGCAACAACATCGCCAGCAAAGCGAAAAAGCCGAGTGACGCATTGTGGGACTTGTAGTAGGTACCCAGCGACGTCAGTGAAGGTCCCTTTATCTACAGCATCTTCGACACATGACGGTATTGTTCTGTTTTTGGGACTTTCTGGTGAGTATTCCCTGGCAAGATGTAGGTTTAGTTTTATGTCTAAACACCCAAAACATGTAAGCACTGATTTACAGTCATCCTTACATCCATACATTACAGACCAATAATATCAGGATATTGGTGTAGAACATGACCTTGCAACAGTGGAGAGCCCTCCCGGACACACAAGGCTTCTACTGCATGAAAAATACATGAAACTCTTTGAGGAGGAAGCGCAAAACTGGAGGGAGTTCCACTGCCAAAAAGAAAGAGTTCAACATGCATGAGAGAGAAAGGGAGTGTGTGTATGTGTCAGTCAGTGTGAGTGTCTGTTTTTATGAGACCCATGCTCATCTCACACACTGCTTTCCCTTTTCTTTTATTCTGGACCAATCACCTGCCTGTGTTGTGTCAGCTTGCGTTGTGTTCGAGTACAAAGGACTTTTTTTAAAAGCCATTCTAATGCACGTTCATTTCTCATGCTGCAAATGGTGCATTAAAATGCTTTGAAGTGTCAAATGTGCTTCTCTCCCCTCCTTGTCTCACCACTACTTTGCACGTCCACGTACAAATCCACCTTTGTAGCTTATATGGTGAATTATGAATGGATGTGCCATGGAAGCGCAAGCAACCTGAGGCTTGGTGCTGGCTTTGGAGGTGAAATTCAGCTACTGTTATTACCATGATCCTGTGCACTCCCTTTTTTTGCTTGGCCTTTTGCTCTCACATACAGCATCTAACATAAATGTCAATAAACCTGGATTAATTTTCGATATTGCAGTGCTTTATGCCTATACTCTAGTATATTTCTGAATGGAGAGGTGGGGGGCTGTGGGTATAAGAAAGGTTTTGTAGGGAGACTGTTGGAATGTTATTCCATATATGAATAAATCATAAGCCGTGGGGGACCCCATGGATTCACCCCCCTGAGAGGACAGGACACTGGAGCTAGTGTGTGCTTTTTGGAAAATGGACTATATTCTACATCACTGAAGCAATACTCAAACTCATGCACCTTTGCCAATGTTGTGATAACAGTTAAAAATATGACAAGACAACAAGGAAAACATAACGTGGACAACAAGCAACCAAATAGGAACTGATTGAAATCTTTAAAAAAAGAAAAAAGACTTTTATTAGTCAGTGTTTCTGTAAAACATACCTTTCTCTTTTTGCCAACCATTTGCAACGTTAATAGGATTGAAGCCCCCCTTCATTCCTCAATATTTTACTTCCAAGCAGCCAGACTTTTAATTTTTAAAGCGGTTTTGACCAATTGGTATCCAGGATTTGTGGATGTGTTCCAAGGTTTTCTTTGGACATTGGCTGCTTTTTCACTCATTTTCAGTCCTTCCTTGACAATTTTCAGAGTAATGAGGGTTTTTGGTAACTTAAAAGGATAAGCAGAAGAAAATGGGTGGATGGAAAGGCATTAACCAGTGTTGTTTTACACATAACGGACTACATAACGGACTACATAACAAACATAACAAAGAGGCAATTTTAAATTGTAACTTTAAAATCACAAAAAAACATATATATTTTTTTCTAATTTCTATAGCTGAAGCTATAAAATGCCAAAGACAACGCAGTTATATGCCGTTATACAGGCATGATATAGAATTTTTGTACCAACAAGGAAATTCCCAAAGAGCTATAAGCTGGAAATGTATGTCTTGACATGGTGTGCAGCGCTGAGGAAAAAAAATGGAGGAAAACTGGACAAAAAGAGAACAAAAGAAGAAGTGGCAGGTCTAAAAAAAAACCTATCTATCTGAAAGTCACGTCTTTAAGAAATAGAGAGAAAAAAAAAATCAAGCAAAGGCCTGAAAGAGGAACTGAAAGATGGCTCTGGCCCTTCAGCTTACACATCAACTGTTCAGTGAAACCTCATCAGAATGTCCTCAGTAGTAGGGTGGCCGCCAAGAAGTCATTCTTAAGGAAGGTAAACAAGAAGTGATAGAATGATGAATCCAAATTTGAAATCTTTGGCTCAGATTGTAGGGGCACACGGTGTGTGTCTACAACCAAGTTTAAAACATGGTGGAGGCGCTGTCATTGTTTAGGGCTCATCTCAGCCAATAATGTTGGAGATCTTGTCAAAATGGATGGAACAGAATAGATTTTGATCCACCATGCAATACCATCTGAAAAGCATTTGATTTCCAATAATAATAACAATAATCTTTGGTTTTTTAGCTTGTTGTTGGGTGTTGTTGGTGATTATGATGACATCATAATATATCATGGACAAATATGTAATTCACGTTTTATTGATATAAATTAAATATTACTGTCATGAAGTGAAAATGATATGATGTTGTACTAAGGTGTTATAGGTGTGAAAACCAAACAAATTGGTCATTTTATTAGATTTGTATTGGGTTGTTAGGCAACATGATCACTTCATAGCATATGATATGGATAAGAACCTTCAGGGGCCTTTGATGCACCTGTGTGATTTTGTATATTATTATAATGAAAATGAATTTGCTGTGCCTTTAATGTCTGCAGTGTCAACCCATATGACACTGTGAGCCCACAGACAAAGGTAACAGCTGGAGGAAGATGGCAAAACATGGAGAGAAGGATTACAAGTAGAATATCTGTTCAATGACCGAACTCTAAAAGGATTATTTCGGTGGACTGAGGACAGGTCGAGTCACCCGAGCAGTCTGCTCAGGTGCTCGTTTTGCCTCCTCTCCTCTTCCCGATCCACTTTCCCCATGTTTCTCCCTAAGATAATGACATTTCTTCCTGTTTTCTCTGACTTTCATCTCATTGGGACCCACATGTTCTGTGCAGAGCACGGGACTGGAGATGACAGATGGAAGACCAAGTCAGCCATTGCCACAGACAGTTCTACAAGCCCAGATGGGTTCTGAAAATTGCTCAGCATTTCCGCCACTCAACCACCATCACTTTCATCTCTGGCCCATGACCCCAAATAAACTTAGCATCTGTGACACATAAATCAAAGTAAATGCTTGAAGAGAAGAGAAGAGAAGAGAAGAGAAGAGAAGAGAAGAGAAGAGAAGAGAAGAGAAGAGAAGAGAAGAGAGATCAGCCAAGACTTCTTTGCTTTTGGAACACAAACAAGTTGTAGTAAACAAAGGGGATAAAAGATGATGTGCTCAGCAATGCATTTTAAAACTATACTATAGAGCTTCTATGTTTCATTTGGGGACAGCCCTGGATTATTTAAGTTTCCACTTATTTTTTCCCTTCTAACCCCCTTTGTGCCTCAGACCACCGGGTAACTACAACTGCTTTATATCAAAAAGTGACACTACACAAGGCCAGTTTTCTTTGCAGGACAGCTGAAGCAAAAATGACACCAGCTTATCTCAAGAGACCACTGCCTATCAAGTTTTCTCAGCACTCCTTAGCTTTGATTTAATTCACACCAGGAAGTGTAGGTCAGGTGGTGGTGTTCATTTTGGGGAGGGGTGGAGGGGGTGACATATGCCTCCTTCAGCTTGTGAACAGCGGGCAATATCCTCATCTCCAATAGAAACAGGCCTCTAAATATAGCAACGAAAATAGGCTAGAAAAATCCCCCTCTTTGTACATTGTACCATATGAAGACTGGATTTCACAACCCAGTACTTCTGACGAAGGATCTATATATAGAAATGTTGGCCTTAATTCATTTGCTTACACAGCACATTTGCTGTATGGGAACATTTACATTAGCTCTCATTTGCTCTTCTCATACTGTCTGTGCAATAATGTCTTAAGTTATAATTTGTCCATAACAGCTCAGTAATATTGACTTAAATACATAAACATCTGATGCATATGTACATGCATGTACACACAGATATGCACTGTCTGAAACACTGTACGCACCCCACATATGAAACCCATTTCACCCTTGAGATATAACATAAACCTTTGGCGTTAAATGTTAATAACCAGAAGTGTCGGTGGTGAGAAAAAATGCTGTAGAAGCAGAAGAAGAAGATTAGCCTTCTTCTGTGGCAGAATAAAACATAAATAGTAGACAGCAGGAATAAATAGCCTTCATTATAACACAAACCATGATTTTTTTTTCCTGATTATTGCCAAGTTGTTTAGGTACCTAAACCAACGAATCATTGAAAATAAAGTAAAAAAACCCCACAAAGTTCCTTAATTGGGCATGAAGAGCCCATTGCTAGTGAACACTTTGTGATTTAGGACTTATCTATATGGCGTCAACTCACAACAGCAGTCGTCTCAAAGTACTTTATGCTATAAGGTAAAGGCACCA